TTTAGTAGTGTTTTAAAAGTGGAAACTGGTGATTTAGTGCATTTTTGGCGTGGTAATTGCTTATAGAAAACAACGAAATTTAACAAAAGTTTTTTGTTCATAACTTTTAAATGGTTAATAATATTATCTCACCCCCTCCGGAATGTTATTAGGGGGGCCGAAACGCGTCGTTTGGTACGCCTCCCGACTTTTCCGCACCTTTTTTAGGGGTTGTTACCCCACCCTAGAGAATTACCGCTATCTACAATTTTGGTGTTTTTAAAGGGCACCAAAATTAATTTCGGTGCACACTCGGTTTCCGACGTCACGCTGTCACGCTGTCCCAAAACACATATTTGCAAATTTCTCGGAAACCGAGTGTGCACCGAAATTATTTTTGGTGGCCCTTAAAAACACCTAAATAGAACCTAATTCCTGAATAACATTTACCAGTGTTCGACGAAATTTAGTGGGTGAGTCAGCTGGCGGTGAATCACGCTGGCTGACCGATAAACTTTTGCGATTTTCTCAGAAGCAGAGTGAGTACTTAAATTAATTTTGGAGGCCCTAAATAACACCTAAATAGTACCTACTTCCTGATTAATTTTATCAGTTTTTGGAAGGGTGGGTCAGCTAGCGTAGAAAGGAAGCCCTCGTAAAACAAATTATTTCTCAGTAGCGAAAAAGGTCCCTGGTGGATTCCTACGACAGCCGGTTCTACATACCGGAATGACTCGGGTTTTACTCGACCAAGGGCTTTTGCTAAACGGAGTAAGATCGGCGAAGTGTGTCGGAAGTTTTTCGCCCATAGGGCTGCATTTGCTACGTATTCTTCTGCTCAGGGCTGGCAAACCCAGGGCCAGAAACCTTCACCTGCTGTGCATGCCAGAGACGATTACACCACAACTCTACCTCAGTCAAATGCAATGCTTGCGACGGGTGGAGTCACCTCAGATTCTGCATCATTCAAACAGAGCAGCCTTTACGGCTAACCCCAGTCCACCTGAGCAGCTCGACACAAACACCACAGCACCACAACACAATAGCCCACACGACACTGCACAACCGCACCACCACCCACAAGCCGCCGCCAACAACTCCTGGTTCCTCCTCTGCACGGTATGTCAGACCAAGATATTCCGTAACGTGACATCAGTCAAGTGCAACTCCTGCCTTGGCTGGTGCCACTTTAAGGCATGTTCAGGTCTGCGCATCACGTGGGATTGGACGAGAAATTTCGAGGGCCCGTGTTGCGCCGCAGACAGACTTGGCTGAGCAGATAAATAGACGATTCGATATTCTGCACAATGAACGACGACGCACCCGCCAGGATTATGAGCAGCTGATGCAGCTTGGCAGACATAATAGTCAGCGCTGGTCTGATAGATAGATAGATTAAGTAGAGGTATGCACTGCGACCAAATGATCTATTGTGCCCTCGACTGTTTAGAGTACCTCATCTAGTCCCAGAGAACCCAAGAATTTAAGGAGATCTCCGGGGGCTAGCGATTGTAAGACTTCATCGCTTGGCCAGAGTTGGCCTAGGTGTCTCTCCCGTCTTCTCGCAACTGCCTCGCATTCGCGAAGCAGATGCAGAGCGGTCTCCTCAGCCACATCGCAGAACCGACATAGGTCGTTAGACCAGATCCCCAACCTGTGCAGGTGACCTCTCAGTCTGCAGTGACCCGTCATAAAGCCTGTCAATATCCTTACCCTTCCTTTGGGAAGGTTTATAATTGCTCTATACCTTGTATGGTTGTAACCTCCCAGTAGGCTTTTAGCCTGGCGTTGGCCTGCCGTGTTACGCCAGTGCTGATTCCTTACTGTGTTCCTCTCCTTCCTGAGCTCTTCCTTGATTGTACTAGGTCCAATCGCTATGAAGGGCTCATGCCCTATAGGCAACGAGGCGGCTGCCTTCCTAGCTAGGCGGTCTGCTTCCTCATTGCCGACAACTCCAACGTGACCTGGCACCCAAGCTAATTGGATGTCGTTGTACTCCGCCAGAGCGTTGAGCTTATCAATACACTCAAGAACCAGAGAGGACTTGACCTCAAATGATAATAGGGCCTTGAGTACTGCCTGGCTGTCGCTCATGATCAAAATCCTTTCATTACGATAGTTCCTACGCAGGTTAATCTCTGCACACAGACTTATGGCATAGACTTCCGCTAGGAAGATGCTTGGGTATACGCCCATGGGTACCGAAAGCTTTAGCCTTGGCCCGTGAACGCCTGCACCAATACCTTCGGGAGTTTTGGAGCCGTCTGTGTACCATTGCATTGAGCTCGCTTGTATCTGCCTCTCCAAAAAAGAGGTGCTCTAAGTCGACTTGGTGCAAAGCGCTATTTTGAATCTTCTGTCAAAGCTAACTAGTTTGGGCCTGTCGTCTCTGGGGAACAGAGCTAATGGAATTTGGGAGCCTAGCTTGTCCCTGTACCCCGATGGTAGGATTTTACCTTTACCAAAGCCTTCTCTTGCGAAGTTCAATAGAGTTCGCCTTGCTGCCTGTCTGATAAACAGCGTATCATGGCGACCTATGCTGTCGGCGAAGCATTCCCACGACAGCCGGTTCTATGTACCGGAATGACTCGGGTTTTACCCGACCAAGGGCTGTTGTTTCGGCGATCTAACCACGTTTAGGGGTAGGGTAGCATATGTCAAAGGCCACTCTCATCATCCCACATATCTGGAAGATAGGCCGAGTGGTCCCACTGGTCTAACCGGGGAAAGCAGCCAACAAAGGAGAATCTTATCGCCCGATAACACTCCTTTCCCCGGTAGCGAAGCATGGCTTCCGTAAAGTGACGTAAGTGGCCTCCCTGTGAGAGAACTATTCTAGTAGCGTTGGACCTGTCAAAGGCGTTTGACACCGTCAGCCACTCCACGATACTAGAAGATATAGATGCCTCTTCTTTCACGCAGAGGCTCAAACGGTGGTCAGCGAATTATCTGAGTGGTCAACACTCGTCGGTAATGTTTAAAGACAAATCGAGCAAACTCAGAAAAATAAAACAGGGGGTTCCACAGGGTGGTGTCCTTTCCCCGCTACTGTTTAAATTTTACATTTCAAAGCTCCCTCAACCACCAGAGGTAGTCTCGATTGTCTCATACGCCGACGATTGCTCGATCATGGCGACTGGGAATAGAATTGATGACCTGTGTTTGAAAGTAAATGGATATCTCTCCGATCTTTCTCGCTTCTTCACTGCAAAGTGTCTAGCCCTCTCCCCTACGAAATCCTCTACGACCTTGTTTACAACCTGGACGAAGGAGGTCAGGCTACCGCTGGGAATTCACGTCGACGATACACCAATTCCGACGGTGAATAACTCCAAAATACTCGGAGTAACCTTTGACAGTCTGCTCTCCTTCTCTGCGCACGCAACCGCTATTGTCAACAAAGTACCCCTGTAGCGAAATGGACTAGTGTGGAACTGGTTCGTTTCTAGTGCGTTTGGAACCATGACTAGTACGCGTAGTATCTTTTTTGCATGCTAGCGACTGGCGAATTTAACATTGCGATGTGCTAGGAAGGGTCAATTGTCCCCCGTTGCATCCCTTTGGCTCTAGTTCCGAACCAGTTCTAAATTCGACAGACAAGATCTAGTTCGTTTTGCATCCCTTTTTCTATAGTTCCGTACCATTTCCAAATTCGACAGACGAGATCTAGTTCGTTCTGCATCCCCTTTTCTTTAGTTCCAAACCAGTTCATAATTCGACAGATGAGATCTAGTTCGATCTGCATCCATTTTTTATAGTTCCCAACCTGTTATAAATTCGTCACCTTAGATCTATATTTCTAATCAGGCTTGTCGAAACATTTCCCTTTTATATTAAATACGATCGGTTGAAGGAAGGACAATACCATCACAAATGTTTAAACGCATTTATCAAAAATGTATAAACCACATTAGTAGTAGTAGTAGTATTAAACTTAAGTAGTAAGTAAAAAACAAAAGTGCGTTCTGCTTAAAAGTAAAAATATTAGTTCACTTTGTCTTCTTCTTCTTCTTCTTATTTGGCGCTGTAACCGCCTAAGCGATTTTGGCCGAGTCCAAAGCAGCACGCCAGTCATTTCTCTTCT